TAATAAAATACGCGACGACTTGGTAACGAAAGTTTGGCACAAGTTTTTTTAGATCCAGCTGTAGGGGGCGTCCAATTTTTCGTATTCCCACCATGCATTTCGGTGGAACACTTTTTTTGTGTGGAGAACTCTATCTTGTATTTCTAGTATCTTTGGTATACAGTGACTGCCTGTAATGCTTTAATGTTGAACCTGATTGGTAAAAGAAGGGGTGTGCGCGGTTTGTGTACACATGCGTATCCAGTCATCGAACGATAGTATTTGGTTGATCAGTTACTGAAGAATTGCTAAAGAACACATGCAGAGCGTTGTTGGTGGTGTATTTTGTGCCGTTTTGTAGGTTTTTGCAGTTGTGAGTTACACTTTATTTTATGATTTCTTAGATCCTATTGTAGGCTGAACAAACTGAAACCTTTGACATCAAACAGAGTAATATAGTACTACCTAGCTAGGCTAGCCTAGCCTAAATAAATAGCTGCATGATGAGCATCATGTGACGTTCATTAATCACAGACATGTTGTTTGGTTACACTTTTTCTTCCTCCTGCTCCTCCTCCTGAACGACAATAACGATGCCATGATAAAATTTAATAAAATAAGATAATTATTAATTGTTTTATATAATCGTTAAAGATTTTGCCTAGGTCATAGGCCTAGATAAATTGTTATTTTTTTTAAATATTTAAAATCTTCTATCAATTTTTAATAATATTATTTTATAAGGCCTAGACTTTGAATATTATTATAGGCTGGGGAAAAAGACCTGGAGGACATGTAAACACAAAACAAATCATCCTGCCTTGAAAAGAAACAAATTGTGGAAAGCGTAATGTCGCAAGACTGAACATGTTAAGAAGAATTGGAAGATGGAAAATCAATTTACCTGTTCAATGAATTTTGCATTTTATTCGGATTAATCTAAATTTGTCAGTGTTTTAAGAAATTAAATTTTAATTGCTAACTATAAATTATTCAATTAAAAAATTATGATTAAGTTTCAAAGTTTTTTTACCATACCAGTCATGTAGTTCACATTATGCGGTTGAAAGGTCAAAGCATTTAAACAAACAATCATGCAGCCAACTTTTTATATTTTGATTATTAGTTATTAAGGATTGGTATGTGTAGTATTTGGCTACTGTAAACATTACTGTTGTTATAATAAGGCCATATAAAATATAAAAATTGGTTAGCATCCTGTAATATGTTACCAATTTTCATGGTAGGGTCCTGGTAGGGAGGTTTTTTTTTTCTCTCGTCAAACATGAAAAAAAAAAGAGTGTCACAAGGAAAAACAGTGAAAAAAAAAGAGAAAGCAACAGAGACCAAAATTGCATATAAGAAATTATATAATTCATCTAGAACAAGCAGAAACTTTACCTATGAATAACCAGGGAGATGTTTGATATCTCCCTGGAATAACAGTCATAATGAAATCCGTATATAATCAATAGATGCCATGTGGCTACAGCATAGAACAACAGTAGAGCATAAAACTGCAAGTGGTCTGGTGGTAAGCAAACCTAGATATAAAATGGAGTTTGTGAGTGTCTTGTACTACCTTGCCTCCCTACCTCTCTGATGGTAGGGAGGGGATGCTAACCAATTATTTTATTTGACATGGCCTAATAGGGAACTAAAAACATGTTGATAGTATTGTTATTATTCAGCTGCTCAGTTTAGAAGAGAATATGGCAACCAGGATGAAATATATTATTTAAAAAAACAATGTTTGTGGCATAAAAGCCATTATCATCTAGAAAAATTAATTTCTATATTCTTTGCACCATTAAATTATCTGATGATAAAAGATGGCATACAATTTTTAGATTTTTTTTCTGATTTTAACTGTATAATATAAGTATATTGTAGTTGTTAATGATGAAGTCTGCTGAAAAAAATATTTTTCTCAAGAATATTTCAGATAGTCTACTTCGTGAGTACTTACATGATAAACCAAATACAGTAATTGCCTATTCTCTCTCTCTCTCTCTCTCTCTCTCGCTCTCTCTTAAGAGAACAAATACCTTCAGTATTTTATATTGATAAAACAAAGATTATCATAAATATTTTATCTTTCTTTCAGATCTAATATACAGGTTACCATACGGACGTGACAATGGTAGACAAAAAAGGTGAGACGCTTCCTGTGCGTGCTTTTATGGGAATATTGACAGCCATTGTATGGACTTACGACATACTATCTTACCCATTCTGTTACCTGTTGACAATGAGGGAGCGACAGAGGCAGAATCAGATTAAGGGTGAACCCCTGAATGGTAATCCATCCGATCCTTACCGTGACTCCACTCACTTGCACGGTCTGAAGACCACGATGTATGAAAACTGTTACACATTGGATTTATTATTCGACAAAGCCGTGGATCAGTTTGCGGATTTGAGGTGTCTGGGAACACGTGATGTACTACAAGAGGAAGATGAGAAGCAAGCTGATGGTAGAACATTTAAAAAGGTTTGTTTTAATGTATTACTATAAGTGCTTGAAGCCTTATATTTTTTATGAATTCTTTCAATTATAAATACAAGCTTTCTTATTTTCTCTTTTAATCTATAAAAATACCAAGATAAGGCCAGTAAAAAAATTCTAATAACAAAGTTGCTATAATATATATTACTACTAGATTAATACATAAATTTGTCTGTAAAGTCAAGCATACTAGAATCATATTTTTCTCTGCCAGACTTTTGGTCTGATATGATTTAGTATTGAATACATTATATAGAGTTATAATAGGCTCTACCAGTGTCCACGATACTGCTGCTTCAGTATGGAAGTATCTACTTTTTGATCACAAAAAAGAAATACAATGTTACATTCATAATTTCACATAATGCAGTACTTACACATTACAGACAATTTACAATTGGATGATATATGAATCTAATAACATAAAAGCCGATGTTATCAAATTCTCAGGAAACAATAAAAAATATAAACCTAGAGTTAATGACGGTGTGCTTAAAAATAATTAATTTGATTATAACTTTATTGTTGAAGCAATATCGTTGGACAACAATAAAGGAAGTTACGATGAAGTAATTCTTGGAAGCTATGAATTTATTCAGATAATAATTAATTATACTAGAATATGTCTTTGGATGCCATAGGTCTAATTGGCTACCCAGAGTGTTTAATATAAAGCAATGTAATTTGTAGAGAGAAGGCTTTAAAGAATTTTAAATCACAAGCCTTCATAACTTCCTTGTGTATGGAGTGCTTTCTACTGTACCTCTGCTTTTGTTATCGATTCAATATTGTTATATGGAATGACAAGAGAAACATAAACAAATCAAACTTTCATTTTTTGAACCTACCTAAAATGGAACTGGGTTGTGGTGGTGGAGGAAGGCAGTGCTTTTTATGCCATCCGTTGTGCTCATCATTGGGAGCACCATCCCCATAGTTAGTGTTCTCATGCTCATGGGAACGGTTGGCGCAGCAGTTGCGCTTAGGTTTCCCAACCCGAGGTCGGGGGTTTTAACCCTCGCTGTGCATTTCACCTACGTTTGTCTCTCTTCACCCAGGTGTATAAATGGGTACCAGGTAGGGAGATTTGGCATTGAATGTGTTGGTCTGTATCGGCATTAAATTGCAAGCACGACTAGGAATACACCCGAGGGCGTGGAGGAGATTGCACCTTGTACTAGTTTGATTATTGATCTGATGACCAGGGGTAATCACCACCAGCACCTTGTATCCCTTTGCAAAAAGTGCGGTATAAATTATATTATTATTATTGATTATTGTTATTGTTATTATTATTAATTGTTATTATCATCTGTAAAATTTTTATTTTGAAATTTTCACCTTTTCAGGTTGTTTTAGGAGATTACAAGTGGAGGACGTTCAGAGACGTGAACGAAGAAGCTGAGAATCTTGGGAAGGGTTTGCTCGCTCTGGGAATGAAACCGAAAGAAAACATTCTGATATTTGCTGAAACCAGAGCTGAGTTTCAAATTGCACTCAATGCCTGTTTCAAGTTTAACTTTCCAGGTAGGAAGCTCTGATGATATGTTTCCTATAATTAATGGTGGTGGTATATTATTAATAACTAGAAATTGCAAATTGCAAGTGAAGTGCTGCGAAGTACAACTGCATATAAATGTTCTTCGAACAAAATTATTTATGCGAGTCAAGTGAAAATAATGAATAATAAAAATATAATAAATAATATGAGACACGACTCATTGTCTATATTAGAACACTTCTCATTGGGTAACAAAGTCGTAATTTTTCATTTTTGTCAAAAAGTGTCTATAGTGGTGAATTATGGTTTAGGTTTTTTTTAATAAAGTTTCAAAAATTTCTATGTATGTGGAAAATGTAGTTGATTACCAAAGGTTACAATTTTTATTTTGAAGACTGCATGGTCTAGGAAGTGTACATTTTTTTTATGTTGCAAGTTTCCAAGGGCGGGTTTTCTAGGGGCGAGTTGACTGCCAAAGAGTGTTGCCAAAGTGTGAGCCAGCGTGTTATTTGATCACAAGTGCGAGACATCGCAGTGTGAGCCAGCGAGCCATGACGTCATGACAATAGATACGAGACGTTACTCGAGTTGTGCGAGGTATCGGCTGAGATTTGTGGAGTACAATTCAAAAAACAACTAGGTCTAATAATGAATTATTGTGATGTTAAATAGACAATGTTAGCTATCAAGGAGCGACGTTGTTTTTCATTGGGACCTTCGTCCCTTCAAGGTTAGGCCTATACCATCCTAGCTAGTCCAATCCTAGCTAGTCTAGGCCTAGAGTAGGATAAGGCTAGCGCGACATGCGGACGTTGGTATGTGTTGGTTAGTCTACAAACGTCGCCTAAAGTAATTGATTTTACCCGGCAGAACGAAAGAAGGAAACTCTGCTTTGCAGTCATCTTAGGCCCTTGTTTTTTGACAAACAATGACCTTTCAAATTGCTGTCAAGAATTATGAATTGGCTGCTTCGCAGCAACAATTGTGATAATAGCACGCATTCAAGTCTAGTTCCTTAAAATTGCTACACACTGTAATGGAAACACTTCAAGCAGTTCTGACTTGATTTAACTATTCAGATCTGTTGACAACAAATCGACTACAGTAGCATTGACAAGTGTGTCGGAGAAGGTGATTTTTAAGATCTGATGATGGTTAATGATGATTATGGAAAATTATTATTTGTGATAACATTAATATTGTGTGATTGTGAATGAAATAATTTTATTAAGATTTTGACTGTTGACAATGAAAAGTTGATGTTCAATGAAAAGTAAGTCGAGAGAACAAAAAAAAAAAAAAAAATGGAAAAATGAAATTGCAGCGATGATGATAAATGATGATGGCAAACATAATGAACAGAATGAAGGTCAAAGGAAAATCATTAAATTGATGTAGATGGTCTGATGCCTTGAATAAAATACAATAATGAATGATGGTCATGATAAATACGACGGTGACGGCTACGAAGTGGAAAGAGACTGATAATGAGGATATTTATAATGATGATAATGATCTGGTGGGTGGGGGGGTGGATGTAGGATTTGGGGGTACAGTAGGGTACGTGAGAACTTTTTCAGAATATGGACCTCTTCTCTAGGTACCCGGAAATTGCACTCTGACTCATGCTTTAAAAATCTTACCGGTACTCTATGTTCATCATTATTTTTCTTAATACAATTTAGGAGGGTGCGATCGCACGGTCTGGATCATCCCCCTCCCCCCTGCATTCACCACATATGATTATGCGTGATGGAAGTCGTGTTAACGAAAAGAAATTAATTTTGATCCTATGGATACCATAGTATTGTTGAAACTCGTATGACCATAAAAATCTGTACATTACACAAGCAAACTGTCAACATGGCATTATGTTTGCCTCAGCGGGAAATTTACTATTGTGTACACATTTTGTTTACATATTGTAGAACTCTTCGACCCATGCTGATTTTAAACTCCATTTTATGAACAATTGAACAATGCTGTATGTCAGTTGGAGGAAATAATTGGGAGTAAATTCAATGAGACAATCCTGGGAGGTGAAATTTGATAGTAAACATAATGTACATTGTTATGGTGATGGTAGTACAATAGCGAGAATTTAATATAGATGGTGAATGTACATGATGAGAGTATCTATCCAAAGATATTGAGACACAAGATAGGTCTCGCGCCTAGCAAAAATGAAGAGCTGACATAAGTCATATCTTTATGCATCTCCAGATGTACGTGCTGCCAATCTCTTTCCAATAAAGACAATTTACCTAAGTTTATCTCCAGCCAAACACTGAACCTCATTTAATGGGGCACTATAAACAGGTGGAGTGGAGAAGAAACTTACATTAGTATAGTATACCCAGCATGCAATTACAGTTTTTATCTGGCGAGTTCTATCTTGTGTTTTTAATATCTTTGGATGTACCCATTATTTATATTTATATATAAATACAGATGCTAACTTACTCCGGATTAAGATTACCATACTGTATGGTAAAACCATTAAAAAGTTCAATTTAAAAAATGAATTCCTCAGTTAATTTTAAAATTATCTATGTTGTATGTTAAGAATATAATGTGTACTGTATTGTTGAAGCGTGTGTATAAATGGTGAGAGGTGCAGTCCTAAATACATCAAATTTTAATTTTGATATTGAATTTTTTTATTAAAATCAACATAAGCTATGATTAATTGAAAGGGTCATGAATTTAAAAAAGAAATGTATAATGAGTTGATATATATTATAGGCCTATTTATAAGAAAACATAACTGATATTGAAAATGGCAATAATTTTTATTTATTTTTAAAATTTCTTTTCAGTTGTTACTTTGTATGCAACATTAGGAGAGAAGGCCATAGCATATGGTATTAACCAAACAGAAGTAACGCATGTGATAACGAATGCGAGTCTTCTACCAAAACTAGCTGTAAGTACCCTTTAAAATAACAGACTAGTCTCAGTTAGCACTGAATGTAAACATGTAAGGAGACTAACTGTGAAATTTGATACGATAGAAGGGCAAGAGATTATACTGTAGTAATGTAGTTGCACTTGTGGTTGCTTTATGACATTAAATTTCTAATGTGATTGCACATTAAATGATATAGTACATCTTAAGCATCTTTAGGCAAGTGGCGTATCTAGAAGTCTTGAAATGGGTGGGTGGGGGCTGATGGGCTGATGGGGGGGAGCGAACGTGAAGTGTGGGCGCGATGATCAGTTGAGGGCCGCTAATTCGCAAAATAAGGTGATTTTCAACTACTTGAAAATCGTGATTTTTTTTTAGGGGTGGGGGATGACTGGGGGACCCAAGTAATTTTAGGGGCGTGTGTGTGTAAGCCCCGTAGTGAATGCATCTAGGCCTACATGATACATATTCTTGAGTGAACATTCTTTGCATTCCTTAAGTTACATGAATTTTCACACCACTCCTGAGAATTCATAGGAGTAAATAGCCTAAAGTTAATTTCAAATTAGTCTAAGCATTTTTACAGGCACTACCCGGGACTAACAAACAAGTGCACTGGTACTTCAAACTTACTGAGATTTTTCCTACCTCATCAGAATGTGTTTAGTATGAGAGATCGAAAGTGTACCATTTAAAAAAACTGCTATTGTATTGACTATAGTGGGATGTGAGATATTTGATATTAAATCTATAGTGTATTGTTGCTTCATTTGTTTGGAGAGATCGATGCTAGTATTCTGATATCAATCATCTAAATCACAGGTGGGCAAAGTGTGGTCCAAAATTTTTTTTTGCAGCCCGTAAAAACAAATTAAAAACCGTATGTGTGCGGTCCACCAACCATCTTTGCCTAGAAAACACCTTGTTTTTTATGGCCCGACACCCATCATCTGTAAAATGTAATATTAAAACTCAGAATAAAGAGGTATAATAGCAGTGCAGTGGTCTGCCTGTTAATTTATCAATTATTTATTTATTTATTTATTTATTTTCTATTTGTTTATTTATTTACTTTATTCATTTATTTATATTTATTTAACTTTTAATAAATTAAATTTAAAAAAAAATATTCTGATTAATATAGGCTCTTTAATATTAGATATAATATAATTAAATTTTTTAAATTCTTGGTCCTACCTTTTTTCGGCGCCTTGAGACGATCTTATTGTGGAAGGCGCACTACAAATATCCCACCATTACCATTACCATTACCATTGCATAAAGATTTTTGGAAGCACACTGGAACCATCAAAATTTGGGTGCAGCCCTTGGTGTTAAATCAGAAATTCACTTTGGCCAATTCCAACCTATTTTTATGCCCACCCCTCATCTAAATGGACCATTCCACCAAGTCCTGCTTCTTGGATATGGTTGCTAGGTCCGACAAAACAGTAAAGTATGTACATAAACATGTGTTCATTTGTAGGACCACATCTATGTTTGTAGAATATTCGCAATATTCCTGGTTCTGTTATTGGTCAGTTGTAAAGTTTACACTATGCCAGAAAGGTCCATTTAATGCAGTGGATGTCTTATGTAGCTGAGTAAGATGCTTTCTTCCCAATTTTAGGGTTCTCGGATAATATCCTGTAGTCCGTAAAAGATATTTCTTCAGGATTTTTTTTTCTCACAATAAAACCTCTAATAATTTAGCATAACAAAATAACGATAAAGTTAATAAATATTAATAAAGTATAATAATAAACAAAAGATGACTTAATATTGGTAATATTTAATTGAAATAGATAATATACTTCTTATGATAATAGAATGATAAGAACTCAACTAATTAAGTTTAGAAAATTAATAAAGTATATAATGATAAAAAAAATAACTTACTAAATTGTTAATATTTAATAATTGAAATAAATACTACACTTCTTATGATAATAGAATGCTAAGAACTCAAGTAATTAGAAAAAAAATAACCCTTTAAATCTAATCTCATTTCATGAATAATATGACTATTTTCATCTGTAATTCGTGTTTGTTAAATGACCTTTTTCAGATCCTTTCAGACAGTAAGGTATTATATTGCTATGTTTTATGTCTGAAAATTGTTAAGAGAAATATAGTAGTAGTTTCGTCATTACTTTCTTCACTTACTTTTCCTTCCTCATCTCAAAACTAAAAAGAATACCTTATAAAATTTCATCATCACAAAAAGCCTTGACCATTTTCTGCATTGTAACATAGGTTATCACCCATTGTCTAGGCTTGATTGCGAAAAACAAATAGTAGATTTCAGATTGGAGAACTTAAAAAAAAAAAGTATTGCATTTTTTTCGCAATTCGGCTAGGCAAGTGACTTATTGACTTAAAACAACTTAAGCTAGCACGGTTAATTAAGAAAAGGGCTCTGAAATATATAGTTTCCAAATATGTGGTGGTCAGTAATCCTTTGTGATTCTTCTTCAGTTGTGAAGCATGTTTTTTTTTCTTGTAGCTTAACACAGAGAGCATAGATACTTATAATTTATTACAGTTATTCCAATATTTGTGGGATTTCAACAAAAATAACACTTATCGGCAGAGAAACATCTAATCCCTAATGCTAAGTAAAACCTATGTCTATAATTAGCTACCAAATGACGCAATTCAACACATGATTGTAGTTGCCAGGTGATTTAGCCAGAGGTGAACAATTGCTTTCTACGTTCCTGCTGTACTAGATATACTAACTGTACTTTAAATAAATGACGTACAACCATTTATTAGGCGAGACTTTTTTTTTATTCCTTGTTCAGCGCACTTATTTTTTTAAAGATCATCGGAGGAGGGCGGAATAAAGATGAAAACAAAATTTTGTTTTCACATTCAGCAAATAGTTTTGCCAATAACATGCAGGCATAGGAGAAAATAAGAATAAAATTTTGTTGGTGAATGTAAAATGGGATGATTATTGTTCCAAATTTATATAATTATGAAGAAATATACATCTTATTTTTGGAGATTTCAAGGCAGCGGAGGGCGTAAAAAAACCCTGAAATTTCCATCTTCCGTAGCGGTGGGTGCACTAATTGGCCAAAAAATAAAATTTAATTTTTATTGGAAATCATCAATATTTGCAGTCGATGGGTTTGATAAACAAGGTATAATAAATGTCTCACCTTATATAAAAAAAAATGAACAATTAAGATTACTGTACATGTTAATACAAAATAATATTAAATCATTGCTATTTGTTCAATTTCTAATATTAGAATAGGCCTACCAAGTAATGTATTTCAATTTCTGAATTACATTAATATAAGATACTAGCATACAGTACCCGTGCCGAGGAGTGGGGAAATGTGGCGATGTATATTGTTGAATTTAAGGGAAGTCGAGGAGGCAATCGCGGATGTTATGGTTAGCATGTTATTATTTTTCTAATATAAAGGACGTCTTTGTAGATAATGTTTTGAGTGTCTTTGCTGAATAGTCCTTGTGTTGTGAGGAATTATTGTGCAGTTTGATGATGGGCGGATCCACAATTTTTCAAACGGGTAGGGGGCACAACAGTTTTAGAATAGATAAGTGAGTAGCACATAACATTAATTTGCACTGAAATTTGAAAAATTTTGTGGCAAAACAGGGAGGCACATGCCCGCACCCCCTCTCCCCCTTACCCTAGCTATGTCTAGCAGAAATAATTAGGCCTAGCTTATATCATGCTTGTGTCGAGGTGTACGTTTATTTTTACCTAATCGATTTCTAAAACATGCCATTTTTGCTGATGTTTTTGACGCATATAAGACTACGTTAATATATTCTGTGGGTACTTTGTGGTGTGGTGGCGTACATGCTGCTCATATATCTTGTTGACGTGAGGCATGTGCGGTGACGTAATGAAGCTGCGAGACAGACTTTCTTTTTCAGTCTGACACAATATTTCTTAATCTGAGCACTGCAAGACAGATTAACAGAGGGGATTTATTTATGTGACGTTTAGTGGTTCACAAAGCAGATACTGATTTTCAGTGGTTTTTGACTGTTTTTTGCCAAGGTTGTTATACAATATCCAGCCTTGAAAATTAAGTAGCGGGACGGGTTGTGACATATAGATAATGTTTTCTTCAAAAATTGAATTTGAATGCATGAATGCATGTAATTGAATTATAATGCATTAAAAAAAAAAAGGTTGCCACTTCTATAGAGCCTTAGAAAGAAATACAAATTTATACACTTCACAATTAAAACCACAAAATGACAGTTCAGATAAATGGGCCTTTCTGCTAAGCATTGTTACTTGGATAATTTTGGTATGGTAATAATAATAATGATGATTATTTTAGCAGAAATGCTGGACTTGCTAATAATAGCACCTGGGATAAAAAGCAAAATGTCCTTCATATGGAAATTACATTTGAAATTTAAACTCTACATTCAAAATAATCTACATTTTCAGTAATAGAAGTCTTGATACACTTGAGTTGATTGTTGAGTTTAATAGTAAATCTTCAAAGTCACCTTGACTAGACTCATTCATGCATTATTACTGGTATTCCATGGTTCATCGTTATAAATTCATTCACGTTTTGGAATTTAGTTTTCATGATACCAGCAAAACATTCTATATTTTCACATGAAATATTTTTGTTTTTAACAGTAACAAATTTACCAGTAAAAAAATATTTTGATAGTTAGAAGGATAGTTGGTATCCTTCTAGAATATTTGAGCTGGTATGTTTTACTGTGAATAATAGATAATCAGTTTGTTGATTTGTTTTTTGTTCCTTTGTTCATTCACTCATACATTCATACATTCATTCATACATTCATTCATATGTTCATTCATACATTTGTTATTTCATTCATTCATTCTTTCATTCATTCATTCATTCATTCATTCATTCATTCATTCATTCATATGTTCATTCATTCATATACAGTATTCATCTACTTATTTTATTCACTTTTTCATTCAATCATTCATTTATTCATTCATTCATTCATTCATACAGTATTCATCTACT